GCTGCATTCATTTGATCAAAAATACAGTACAAAATGTGAAATATTATTCCAAATTAGAGTAGCTGTTGTTTTCGTAATAATAGTGTAAAGTGTCATTTATTCTTATACTGGCTAACGCCAGACCACATGTTCATTTTCTCGTATTTGAGGCGTGGTTCACGAATGCCCAAAGCCGTATTATTGGGTGCTACAAATGTCTATCAAATGCGCCTGTGCTTCCTCCCCATTCTGTGATTGTTTCCCTATTTCTGGGAAAAATTTGGTTCATGGTGTCCAGGCTTCCTAGCAGCGTGAATAAAATCGTCCTGCAGCAAGGCAGCATGGGAAAACCCAGGCTAATTTATTCCTGTGATAAAAAGTTTTCAGCATCATTACTCCAGTCTTCAGTTTCACACGGTCCTTTAGGAATCATTCTAATATGCTAATTTGCTGCTCAAGAAACATTGATTACCAACAATGCTTTGCCACAGTCTGCCAGCATTGAGTTTGTGACTTAGATTGCAACTCACTTCCCTGACTATGTTCATTGTGGTCTGTAGATGCACACGAACAAGCGTCACAAGACTTCTGGAAACGGATTATTTCAATGCAATGAAGGGATTTAAAAGCCCTTCACACAACAAGTAGGGCAGCACAATGATGGTTAAACTGATAATCATTATTATTCTCATTTGAGACATTTCTTTTATCCAAGTTATGTGACTTTCATGTGAACACAAAAATCAAAAGAACATTTACACATATGCAGGGTCTATTCACCAGAAATACTCCAAGTCATAATTCCAAGAAACTCACAATTGTGAAATAAGTCACAATTACCATCATGTTATTCCTTGGCAAAATAATCTGCGAGAAAAAGTCTGCACCCTGCTACTGTATATAAAATATTGAGCTTTACAGAAGCATAGGAACCCAGGTTTGCAACTGGAGCTTGCCTAGAAGTTCAGTGAAATGGCTTAGGCAGAAGTTTGGCTTGTTTAGTTCAAATCAAGCACCAATCAGAATGAACAACCTTGCTAAAGCACAAATGGAACTTTAGTTGTGTGGCCCAGTAAATAAAACCAAGAACAGTCACGCAAGAGCCGACTCATTGAACATCAACACCAATTTATTAAATCTAAATTGACATGACCAGGTTAACTTCTCCACTAGACACCACAGTTTGCCCACTAGAGATGGTCTTGATGGGAGTGTCCCTTCCTGTAAGAGAAGAAGTGGTAGAAGCATGAGGAGCACTTAAAAACCAAATTCCCACGGTTCCCAAGTCGGTTTACAGCAAGCACTCACTTTTCCTAGTGCAGCTTTGCTCACAGGAGCCAGAAGAGGGATGGCACACTGCTGTACTACAGTGGATGAAGATCTAACAGAGGGAGAAAAGGTTTAGCCATAGAATTCACTATAAAAAGCACTAATAATAAGGGTTGAGGTAAGGCTGCGGAGCATACGGTTTCCTGCAGAGGAGCCAGTGACGATGGATCAACAAATGTGAACATCTTCACAATAAAGCGCTTGTAGTGGGTTGGGAACTGAAGACCAGACGATCCAGTCACTGGAACCAATGTGGTCAGGTAACGATCATCCTGGTAAGGGCATCTGAAAGGAAAAGAGGGAATCAGAAACGCCTTACAGCACACTAGATGGACAAAGACTGGCCTTACTCACCCATCAACCAGAAGGTCCCACTGGGGTAGACTGAGTGGACTGGGGGTTGACGTCGCCCAGCAATGTCCCAGCATCAGGACAATGTTGGGGTCGGTCCTCTCCATAACGTGCACCTCAACATACACAGGCTCCCGCAGGACTTTTGTAACAGGATAATCAGCATCACTGTAGTAGGAAGTGTACGCCTCGTCCCCTGAGGAAGAACAGTGTTTAACCAGAAACCACTGCAACCTGGAGCTTTGGAAAAGCTTTAGGCACACACTTGGGTCAAATACTTACCTTCTGCACAGCCTTTGGTGACACACTGACCATTTGCTAGCCTAAGCTCCACCCTGAGGGGTCCAGGAGCAGCTACTGGTGGAGGTGGAGGAACAGTGTTGACCTCCACAACCAGAGCTTCCACAGAAGTACCAGAGTACCTACACTGGAAGAGAAGCCTGGAAAACAAACAGTGAGCTTGTAGCATTTGCCAAGGATTAACAAACCTGCTGAAGCATACGTCACCCACTCAAAATGGCTGTCCCTTGTGATGGAACCAAGTGGTCCGATACCCACTTCATACGAGGAGGTCATTCTGTTTTCATACACCACATATCCACTGTCCTCCTGCAAATAGTAACACTGTTGGCATCCAGTCCACTTTAAGCCATGCAGAACAAAACCACAAGCAGCTACTCACCATCATGCTCGTGCCGCACGCAGTGACAGGGAACTGGTATATAGCAAAGAAAGGCGTGGATCCCACAGGACTGCAAGCTGGATCATCTCCACCCAGGAGACGGACTGAATCCAGGCTCAAACGAGGCAGCGTGACATCTCTAGCCACCACGACCACAAACTGACCATCTCTTATACACTGGACAGTCACTGGAACAAGGTACAAGAGCTGGTTATTGATGAGGATCGGTTTAACAAGAAACACCTTTACATTGACTCAACACTCTTACCAGCCTTCCCATAGTAACACTGCTGTCCGTTAAAGCAGCAGTTAATAGCTGCACACTCAGCACCACTGATACCAGGTGGTCCACACTGGATCTGCTCATAATCAGCAACAGCACATTTGTCAACGGGCTCTGCCTTTCCCACTGGCTGTTTCGGCTGAAACTGCTGAGGAAACGGTTGACTAGCTTGAACTGACTGAGGAAACTGTTGACTGTTGACTACTGTTGAACAGACTGAGGAACTGTTGACTAGTCTGTTGAACAGACTGAGGGAACTGTTGACTAGCTTGCTGTTGAACAGACTGAGGGAACTGTTGACTAGCTTGCTGTTGAACAGACTGAGGGAACTGTTGACTAGCTTGCTGTTGAACAAAACTGTTGACTAGCTTGCTGTTGAACTGGCTTAGAAAACTGTTGACTAGCTTGCTGTTGAACTGGCTTAGAAAACTGTTGACTAGCTTGCTGTTGAACTGGCTTAGGATACTGTTGATTAGCTTGCCATTGAACTGACTGAGGAAACTGCTGAGGAAACTGTTGACTAGCTTGCTGTTGAACAGACTGAAGAAACCGCTGACTAGTTTGCTGTTGAACTGGCTTAGAAAACTGTTGACTAGCTTGCCGTTGAACTGACAGAGGGAACTGTTGACTAGCTTGAACTGACTGAGGAAACTGCTGACTAGCTTGCTGTTGAAACCTCGGGTCAGTTTGCTGGAACATCAGAGCTTGAGGACTTTGGTGCAGATTACTCCACTTTGGAACAGCATGACAGAAAGCACAGAACCAAACACAAAGTGCCAGCGTCTGAGCAACACACCAACTCCCTGCCATTGTCCAACAGCTAGTCACACTGTTGAGATGCTGCCCTTTGGTTTTTTGTACTCTACCGATTTTGGCTAATTAACGATAATCCCTCCCCTTTCATTAACAGTCATGATTCTCCAGACTTGCATGAGTGTGGAGTTTATCCAACTGGGTGTTTCCATTTGTTCCTAAGATTCAATTGTCCTTGTTTTTCCACCCTTTTTGAACATGCAAAGAATGCACATATTGAGCTTGATGCGGAAAAGTTTACTAGTACTATTTCTGCCATTCAGAATTCGGCCTTTGTTTTAAATGCTTCATCCTGCGAATATAATGGTGGATGTTTTGGCTATTCTGGCCTGTGTATTCAGATTGACTAAAGAGTTTGACATGCAGGATTATGTTTCAATGATATGGAAGACTTTATCAGCAAGCAATAGCTGCCGTATTCTTAAAATGATCTTGCATTTCTACTATTATGCTCTTATATTGTGTTCATGTTTTTGAAAGCTGCATTCATTTGATCAAAAATACAGTACAAAATGTGAAATATTATTCCAAATTAGAATAGCTGTTGTTTTCGTAATAATAGTGTAAAGTGTCATTTATTCTTATACTGGCTAACGCCAGACCACATGTTCATTTTCTCGTATTTGAGGCGTGGTTCACGAATGCCCAAAGCCGTATTATTGGGTGCTACAAATGTCTATCAAATGGGCCTGTGCTCCCTCCCAATTCTGTGATTGTTTCCCTATTTCAGGGAAAAAATTGGTTCATGGTGTCCAGGCTGCCTAGCAGCGTGAATAAAATCATTATGCAGCAAGGCAGCATGGGGAAACCCAGGCTAATTTATTCCTGTGATAAAAGCTGAGTTTTCAGCATCATTACTCCAGTCTTCAGTTTCACATGGTCCTTAAGGAATTATTCTAATATGCTAATTTGCTGCTCAAGAAACATTGATTACCATCAATGCTTTGCCACAGTCTGCCAGCATTGAGTTTGTGACTGAGATTGCAACTCACTTCCCTGACTATGTTCATTGTGGTCTGTAGATGCACACAAACAAGCGTCACAAGACATCTGGAAATGGAGTATTTCAATGCAATGAAGGATTTAAAAGCCCTTCACACAACAAGTAGGGCAGCACAATGATGGTTAAACTGATAATCATTATTATTCTCATTTGAGACATTTCTTTTATCCAAGTTATGTGACTTTCATGTGAACACAAAAATCAAAAGAACATTTACACAGATGCAGGGTCTATTCACCAGAAATACTGCAAGTCATAATTCCAAGAAACTCACAATTGTGAAATAGGTCACAATTACCATCATGTTATTCCTTGGCAAAATAATCTGCAAGTCTGCACCCTGCTACTGTATATAAAATATTGAGCTTTACAGAAGCATAGGAACCCAGGTTTGCAACTGGAGCTTGCCTAGAAGTTCAGTGAAATGGCTTAGGCAGAAGTTTGGCTTGTTTAGTTCAAATCAAGCACCAATCAGAATGAACAACCTTGCTAAAGCACAAATGGAACTTTAGTTGTGTGGCCCAGTAAATAAAACCAAGAACAGTCACGCAAGAGCCGACTCATTGAACATCAACACCAATTTATTAAATCTAAATTGACATGACCAGGTTAACTTCTCCACTAGACACCACAGTTTGCCCACTAGAGATGGTCTTGATGGGAGTGTCCCTTCCTGTAAGAGAAGTGGTAGAAGCATGAGGAGCACTTAAAAACCAAATTCCCACGGTTCCCAAGTCGGTTTACAGCAAGCACTCACTTTTCCTAGTGCAGCTTTGCTCACAGGAGCCAGAAGAGGGATGGCACACTGCTGTACTACAGTGGATGAAGATCTAACAGAGGGAGAAAAGGTTTAGCCATAGAATTCACTATAAAAAGCACTAATAATAAGGGTTGAGGTAAGGCTGCGGAGCATACGGTTTCCTGCAGAGGAGCCAGTGACGATGGATCAACAAATGTGAACATCTTCACAATAAAGCGCTTGTAGTGGGTTGGGAACTGAAGACCAGACGATCCAGTCACTGGAACCAATGTGGTCAGGTAACGATCATCCTGGTAAGGGCATCTGAAAGGAAAAAAGGGAATCAGAAACGCCTTACAGCACACTAGATGGACAAAGACTGGCCTTACTCACCCATCAACCAGAAGGTCCCACTGGGGTAGACTGAGTGGACTGGGGGTTGACGTCGCCCAGCAATGTCCCAGCATCAGGACAATGTTGGGGTCGGTCCTCTCCATAACGTGCACCTCAACATACACAGGCTCCCGCAGGACTTTTGTAACAGGATAATCAGCATCACTGTAGTAGGAAGTGTACGCCTCGTCCCCTGAGGAAGAACAGTGTTTAACCAGAAACCACTGCAACCTGGAGCTTTGGAAAAGCTTTAGGCACACACTTGGGTCAAATACTTACCTTCTGCACAGCCTTTGGTGACACACTGACCATTTGCTAGCCTAAGCTCCACCCTGAGGGGTCCAGGAGCAGCTACTGGTGGAGGTGGAGGAACAGTGTTGACCTCCACAACCAGAGCTTCCACAGAAGTACCAGAGTACCGACACTGGAAGAGAAGCCTGGAAAACAAACAGTGAGCTTGTAGCATTTGCCAAGGATTAACAAACCTGCTGAAGCATACGTCACCCACTCAAAATGGCTGTCCCTTGTGATGGAACCAAGTGGTCCGATACCCACTTCATACGAGGAGGTCATTCTGTTTTCATACACCACATATCCACTGTCCTCCTGCAAATAGTAACACTGTTGGCATCCAGTCCACTTTAAGCCATGCAGAACAAAACCACAAGCAGCTACTCACCATCATGCTCGTGCCGCACGCAGTGACAGGGAACTGGTATATAGCAAAGAAAGGTGTGGATCCCACAGGACTGCAAGCTGGATCATCTCCACCCAGGAGACGGACTGAATCCAGGCTCAAACGAGGCAGCGTGACATCTCTAGCCACCACGACCACAAACTGACCATCTCTTATACACTGGACAGTCACTGGAACAAGGTACAAGAGCTGGTTATTGATGAGGATCGGTTTAACAAGAAACACCTTTACATTGACTCAACACTCTTACCAGCCTTCCCATAGTAACACTGCTGTCCGTTAAAGCAGCAGTTAATAGCTGCACACTCAGCACCACTGATACCAGGTGGTCCACACTGGATCTGCTCATAATCAGCAATAGCACATTTGTCAACGGGCTCTGCCTTTCCCACTGGCTGTTTCGGCTGAAACTGCTGAGGAAACGGTTGACTAGCTTGAACTGACTGAGGAAACTGTTGACTACTGTTGAACAGACTGAGAACTGTTGACTAGTGTTGAACAGACTGAGGAACTGTTGACTAGCTTGCTGTTGAACAGACTGAGGGAACTGTTGACTAGCTTGCTGTTGAACAGACTGAGGGAACTGTTGACTAGCTTGCTGTTGAACAGACTGAGGGAACTGTTGACTAGCTTGCTGTTGAACTGGCTTAGAAAATTGTTGACTAGCTTGCTGTTGAACTGGCTTAGAAAACTGTTGACTAGCTTGCTGTTGAACTGGCTTAGAAAACTGTTGACTAGCTTGCTGTTGAACTGGCTTAGGATACTGTTGATTAGCTTGCCATTGAACTGACTGAGGAAACTGCTGAGGAAACTGTTGACTAGCTTGCTGTTGAACAGACTGAAGAAACCGCTGACTAGTTTGCTGTTGAACTGGCTTAGAAAACTGTTGACTAGCTTGCCGTTGAACTGACAGAGGGAACTGTTGACTAGCTTGAACTGACTGAGGAAACTGCTGACTAGCTTGCTGTTGAAACCTCGGGTCAGTTTGCTGGAACATCAGAGCTTGAGGACTTTGGTGCAGATTACTCCACTTTGGAACAGCATGACAGAAAGCACAGAACCAAACACAAAGTGCCAGAGTCTGAGCAACACACCAACTCCCTGCCATTGTCCAACAGCTAGTCACACTGTTGAGATGCTGCCCTTTGGTTTTTTGTACTCTACCGATTTTGGCTAATTAACGATAATCCCTCCCCTTTCATTAACAGTCATGATTCTCCAGACTTGCATGAGTGTGGAGTTTATCCAACTGGGTGTTTCCATTTGTTCCTAAGATTCAATTGTCCTTGTTTTTCCACCCTTTTTGAACATGCAAAGAATGCACATATTGAGCTTGATGCGGAAAAGTTTACTAGTACTATTTCTGCCATTCAGAATTCGGCCTTTGTTTTAAATGCTTCATCCTGCGAATATAATGGTGGATGTTTTGGCTATTCTGGCCTGTGTATTCAGATTGACTAAAGAGCTTGACATGCAGGATTATGTTTCAATGATATGAAAGACTTTATCAGCAAGCAATAGCTGCCGTATTCTTAAAATGATCTTGCATTTCTACTATTATGCTCTTATATTGTGTTCGTGTTTTTGAAAGCTGCATTCATTTGATCAAAAATACAGTACAAAATGTGAAATATTATTCAAAATTAGAATAGCTGTTGTTTTCGTAATAATAGTGTAAAGTGTCATTTATTCTTATACTGGCTAACGCCAGACCACATGTTCATTTTCTCGTATTTGAGGCGTGGTTCACGAATGCCCAAAGCCGTATTATTGGGTGCTACAAATGTCTATCAAATGGGCCTGTGCTCCCTCCCCATTCTGTGATTGTTTCCCTAATTCAGGGAAAAATTTGGTTCATGGTGTCCAGGCTGCCTAGCAGCGTGAATAAAATCGTCCTGCAGCAAGGCAGCATGGGGAAACCCAGGCTAATTTATTCCTGTGATAAAAGCTGAGTTTTCAGCATCATTACTCCAGTCTTCAGTTTCACATGGTCCTTTAGGAATCATTCTAATATGCTAATTTGCTGCTCAAGAAACATTGATTACCATCAATGCTTTGCCACAGTCTGCCAGCATTGAGTTTGTGACTGAGATTGCAACTCACTTCCCTGACTATGTTCATTGTGGTCTGTAGATGCACACAAACAAGCGTCACAAGACATCTGGAAATGGATTATTTCAATGCAATGAAGGATTTAAAAGCCCTTCACACAACAAGTAGGGCAGCACAATGATGGTTAAACTGATAATCATTATTATTCTCATTTGAGACATTTCTTTTATCCAAGTTATGTGACTTTCATGTGAACACAAAAATCAAAAGAACATTTACACAGATGCAGGGTCTATTCACCAGAAATACTGCAAGTCATAATTCCAAGAAACTCACAATTGTGAAATAGGTCACAATTACCATCATGTTATTCCTTGGCAAAATAATCTGCAAGTCTGCACCCTGCTACTGTATATAAAATATTGAGCTTTACAGAAGCATAGGAACCCAGGTTTGCAACTGGAGCTTGCCTAGAAGTTCAGTGAAATGGCTTAGGCAGAAGTTTGGCTTGTTTAGTTCAAATCAAGCACCAATCAGAATGAACAACCTTGCTAAAGCACAAATGGAACTTTAGTTGTGTGGCCCAGTAAATAAAACCAAGAACAGTCACGCAAGAGCCGACTCATTGAACATCAACACCAATTTATTAAATCTAAATTGACATGACCAGGTTAACTTCTCCACTAGACACCACAGTTTGCCCACTAGAGATGGTCTTGATGGGAGTGTCCCTTCCTGTAAGAGAAGTGGTAGAAGCATGAGGAGCACTTAAAAACCAAATTCCCACGGTTCCCAAGTCGGTTTACAGCAAGCACTCACTTTTCCTAGTGCAGCTTTGCTCACAGGAGCCAGAAGAGGGATGGCACACTGCTGTACTACAGTGGATGAAGATCTAACAGAGGGAGAAAAGGTTTAGCCATAGAATTCACTATAAAAAGCACTAATAATAAGGGTTGAGGTAAGGCTGCGGAGCATACGGTTTCCTGCAGAGGAGCCAGTGACGATGGATCAACAAATGTGAACATCTTCACAATAAAGCGCTTGTAGTGGGTTGGGAACTGAAGACCAGACGATCCAGTCACTGGAACCAATGTGGTCAGGTAACGATCATCCTGGTAAGGGCATCTGAAAGGAAAAAAGGGAATCAGAAACGCCTTACAGCACACTAGATGGACAAAGACTGGCCTTACTCACCCATCAACCAGAAGGTCCCACTGGGGTAGACTGAGTGGACTGGGGGTTGACGTCGCCCAGCAATGTCCCAGCATCAGGACAATGTTGGGGTCGGTCCTCTCCATAACGTGCACCTCAACATACACAGGCTCCCGCAGGACTTTTGTAACAGGATAATCAGCATCACTGTAGTAGGAAGTGTACGCCTCGTCCCCTGAGGAAGAACAGTGTTTAACCAGAAACCACTGCAACCTGGAGCTTTGGAAAAGCTTTAGGCACACACTTGGGTCAAATACTTACCTTCTGCACAGCCTTTGGTGACACACTGACCATTTGCTAGCCTAAGCTCCACCCTGAGGGGTCCAGGAGCAGCTACTGGTGGAGGTGGAGGAACAGTGTTGACCTCCACAACCAGAGCTTCCACAGAAGTACCAGAGTACCGACACTGGAAGAGAAGCCTGGAAAACAAACAGTGAGCTTGTAGCATTTGCCAAGGATTAACAAACCTGCTGAAGCATACGTCACCCACTCAAAATGGCTGTCCCTTGTGATGGAACCAAGTGGTCCGATACCCACTTCATACGAGGAGGTCATTCTGTTTTCATACACCACATATCCACTGTCCTCCTGCAAATAGTAACACTGTTGGCATCCAGTCCACTTTAAGCCATGCAGAACAAAACCACAAGCAGCTACTCACCATCATGCTCGTGCCGCACGCAGTGACAGGGAACTGGTATATAGCAAAGAAAGGTGTGGATCCCACAGGACTGCAAGCTGGATCATCTCCACCCAGGAGACGGACTGAATCCAGGCTCAAACGAGGCAGCGTGACATCTCTAGCCACCACGACCACAAACTGACCATCTCTTATACACTGGACAGTCACTGGAACAAGGTACAAGAGCTGGTTATTGATGAGGATCGGTTTAACAAGAAACACCTTTACATTGACTCAACACTCTTACCAGCCTTCCCATAGTAACACTGCTGTCCGTTAAAGCAGCAGTTAATAGCTGCACACTCAGCACCACTGATACCAGGTGGTCCACACTGGATCTGCTCATAATCAGCAATAGCACATTTGTCAACGGGCTCTGCCTTTCCCACTGGCTGTTTCGGCTGAAACTGCTGAGGAAACGGTTGACTAGCTTGAACTGACTGAGGAAACTGTTGACTAGCTTGCTGTTGAACAGACTGAGGGAACTGTTGACTAGTCTGTTGAATAGACTGAGAAAACTGTTGACTAGCTTGCTGTTGAACAGACTGAGGGAACTGTTGACTAGCTTGCTGTTGAACAGACTGAGGGAACTGTTGACTAGCTTGCTGTTGGGAACTGTTGACTAGCTTGCTGTTGAACTGGCTTAGAAAATTGTTGACTAGCTTGCTGTTGAACTGGCTTAGAAAACTGTTGACTAGCTTGCTGTTGAACTGGCTTAGAAAACTGTTGACTAGCTTGCTGTTGAACTGGCTTAGGATACTGTTGATTAGCTTGCCATTGAACTGACTGAGGAAACTGCTGAGGAAACTGTTGACTAGCTTGCTGTTGAACAGACTGAAGAAACCGCTGACTAGTTTGCTGTTGAACTGGCTTAGAAAACTGTTGACTAGCTTGCCGTTGAACTGACAGAGGGAACTGTTGACTAGCTTGAACTGACTGAGGAAACTGCTGACTAGCTTGCTGTTGAAACCTCGGGTCAGTTTGCTGGAACATCAGAGCTTGAGGACTTTGGTGCAGATTACTCCACTTTGGAACAGCATGACAGAAAGCACAGAACCAAACACAAAGTGCCAGAGTCTGAGCAACACACCAACTCCCTGCCATTGTCCAACAGCTAGTCACACTGTTGAGATGCTGCCCTTTGGTTTTTTGTACTCTACCGATTTTGGCTAATTAACGATAATCCCTCCCCTTTCATTAACAGTCATGATTCTCCAGACTTGCATGAGTGTGGAGTTTATCCAACTGGGTGTTTCCATTTGTTCCTAAGATTCAATTGTCCTTGTTTTTCCACCCTTTTTGAACATGCAAAGAATGCACATATTGAGCTTGATGCGGAAAAGTTTACTAGTACTATTTCTGCCATTCAGAATTCGGCCTTTGTTTTAAATGCTTCATCCTGCGAATATAATGGTGGATGTTTTGGCTATTCTGGCCTGTGTATTCAGATTGACTAAAGAGCTTGACATGCAGGATTATGTTTCAATGATATGAAAGACTTTATCAGCAAGCAATAGCTGCCGTATTCTTAAAATGATCTTGCATTTCTACTATTATGCTCTTATATTGTGTTCGTGTTTTTGAAAGCTGCATTCATTTGATCAAAAATACAGTACAAAATGTGAAATATTATTCAAAATTAGAATAGCTGTTGTTTTCGTAATAATAGTGTAAAGTGTCATTTATTCTTATACTGGCTAACGCCAGACCACATGTTCATTTTCTCGTATTTGAGGCGTGGTTCACGAATGCCCAAAGCCGTATTATTGGGTGCTACAAATGTCTATCAAATGGGCCTGTGCTCCCTCCCCATTCTGTGATTGTTTCCCTAATTCAGGGAAAAATTTGGTTCATGGTGTCCAGGCTGCCTAGCAGCGTGAATAAAATCGTCCTGCAGCAAGGCAGCATGGGGAAACCCAGGCTAATTTATTCCTGTGATAAAAGCTGAGTTTTCAGCATCATTACTCCAGTCTTCAGTTTCACATGGTCCTTTAGGAATCATTCTAATATGCTAATTTGCTGCTCAAGAAACATTGATTACCATCAATGCTTTGCCACAGTCTGCCAGCATTGAGTTTGTGACTGAGATTGCAACTCACTTCCCTGACTATGTTCATTGTGGTCTGTAGATGCACACAAACAAGCGTCACAAGACATCTGGAAATGGATTATTTCAATGCAATGAAGGATTTAAAAGCCCTTCACACAACAAGTAGGGCAGCACAATGATGGTTAAACTGATAATCATTATTATTCTCATTTGAGACATTTCTTTTATCCAAGTTATGTGACTTTCATGTGAACACAAAAATCAAAAGAACATTTACACAGATGCAGGGTCTATTCACCAGAAATACTGCAAGTCATAATTCCAAGAAACTCACAATTGTGAAATAGGTCACAATTACCATCATGTTATTCCTTGGCAAAATAATCTGCAAGTCTGCACCCTGCTACTGTATATAAAATATTGAGCTTTACAGAAGCATAGGAACCCAGGTTTGCAACTGGAGCTTGCCTAGAAGTTCAGTGAAATGGCTTAGGCAGAAGTTTGGCTTGTTTAGTTCAAATCAAGCACCAATCAGAATGAACAACCTTGCTAAAGCACAAATGGAACTTTAGTTGTGTGGCCCAGTAAATAAAACCAAGAACAGTCACGCAAGAGCCGACTCATTGAACATCAACACCAATTTATTAAATCTAAATTGACATGACCAGGTTAACTTCTCCACTAGACACCACAGTTTGCCCACTAGAGATGGTCTTGATGGGAGTGTCCCTTCCTGTAAGAGAAGTGGTAGAAGCATGAGGAGCACTTAAAAACCAAATTCCCACGGTTCCCAAGTCGGTTTACAGCAAGCACTCACTTTTCCTAGTGCAGCTTTGCTCACAGGAGCCAGAAGAGGGATGGCACACTGCTGTACTACAGTGGATGAAGATCTAACAGAGGGAGAAAAGGTTTAGCCATAGAATTCACTATAAAAAGCACTAATAATAAGGGTTGAGGTAAGGCTGCGGAGCATACGGTTTCCTGCAGAGGAGCCAGTGACGATGGATCAACAAATGTGAACATCTTCACAATAAAGCGCTTGTAGTGGGTTGGGAACTGAAGACCAGACGATCCAGTCACTGGAACCAATGTGGTCAGGTAACGATCATCCTGGTAAGGGCATCTGAAAGGAAAAAAGGGAATCAGAAACGCCTTACAGCACACTAGATGGACAAAGACTGGCCTTACTCACCCATCAACCAGAAGGTCCCACTGGGGTAGACTGAGTGGACTGGGGGTTGACGTCGCCCAGCAATGTCCCAGCATCAGGACAATGTTGGGGTCGGTCCTCTCCATAACGTGCACCTCAACATACACAGGCTCCCGCAGGACTTTTGTAACAGGATAATCAGCATCACTGTAGTAGGAAGTGTACGCCTCGTCCCCTGAGGAAGAACAGTGTTTAACCAGAAACCACTGCAACCTGGAGCTTTGGAAAAGCTTTAGGCACACACTTGGGTCAAATACTTACCTTCTGCACAGCCTTTGGTGACACACTGACCATTTGCTAGCCTAAGCTCCACCCTGAGGGGTCCAGGAGCAGCTACTGGTGGAGGTGGAGGAACAGTGTTGACCTCCACAACCAGAGCTTCCACAGAAGTACCAGAGTACCGACACTGGAAGAGAAGCCTGGAAAACAAACAGTGAGCTTGTAGCATTTGCCAAGGATTAACAAACCTGCTGAAGCATACGTCACCCACTCAAAATGGCTGTCCCTTGTGATGGAACCAAGTGGTCCGATACCCACTTCATACGAGGAGGTCATTCTGTTTTCATACACCACATATCCACTGTCCTCCTGCAAATAGTAACACTGTTGGCATCCAGTCCACTTTAAGCCATGCAGAACAAAACCACAAGCAGCTACTCACCATCATGCTCGTGCCGCACGCAGTGACAGGGAACTGGTATATAGCAAAGAAAGGTGTGGATCCCACAGGACTGCAAGCTGGATCATCTCCACCCAGGAGACGGACTGAATCCAGGCTCAAACGAGGCAGCGTGACATCTCTAGCCACCACGACCACAAACTGACCATCTCTTATACACTGGACAGTCACTGGAACAAGGTACAAGAGCTGGTTATTGATGAGGATCGGTTTAACAAGAAACACCTTTACATTGACTCAACACTCTTACCAGCCTTCCCATAGTAACACTGCTGTCCGTTAAAGCAGCAGTTAATAGCTGCACACTCAGCACCACTGATACCAGGTGGTCCACACTGGATCTGCTCATAATCAGCAATAGCACATTTGTCAACGGGCTCTGCCTTTCCCACTGGCTGTTTCGGCTGAAACTGCTGAGGAAACGGTTGACTAGCTTGAACTGACTGAGGAAACTGTTGACTAGCTTGCTGTTGAACAGACTGAGGGAACTGTTGACTAGTCTGTTGAATAGACTGAGAAAACTGTTGACTAGCTTGCTGTTGAACAGACTGAGGGAACTGTTGACTAGCTTGCTGTTGAACAGACTGAGGGAACTGTTGACTAGCTTGCTGTTGAACTGGCTTAGAAAATTGTTGACTAGCTTGCTGTTGAACTGGCTTAGAAAACTGTTGACTAGCTTGCTGTTGAACTGGCTTAGAAAACTGTTGACTAGCTTGCTGTTGAACTGGCTTAGGATACTGTTGATTAGCTTGCCATTGAACTGACTGAGGAAACTGCTGAGGAAACTGTTGACTAGCTTGCTGTTGAACAGACTGAAGAAACCGCTGACTAGTTTGCTGTTGAACTGGCTTAGAAAACTGTTGACTAGCTTGCCGTTGAACTGACAGAGGGAACTGTTGACTAGCTTGAACTGACTGAGGAAACTGCTGACTAGCTTGCTGTTGAAACCTCGGGTCAGTTTGCTGGAACATCAGAGCTTGAGGACTTTGGTGCAGATTACTCCACTTTGGAACAGCATGACAGAAAGCACAGAACCAAACACAAAGTGCCAGAGTCTGAGCAACACACCAACTCCCTGCCATTGTCCAACAGCTAGTCACACTGTTGAGATGCTGCCCTTTGGTTTTTTGTACTCTACCGATTTTGGCTAATTAACGATAATCCCTCCCCTTTCATTAACAGTCATGATTCTCCAGACTTGCATGAGTGTGGAGTTTATCCAACTGGGTGTTTCCATTTGTTCCTAAGATTCAATTGTCCTTGTTTTTCCACCCTTTTTGAACATGCAAAGAATGCACATATTGAGCTTGATGCGGAAAAGTTTACTAGTACTATTTCTGCCATTCAGAATTCGGCCTTTGTTTTAAATGCTTCATCCTGCGAATATAATGGTGGATGTTTTGGCTATTCTGGCCTGTGTATTCAGATTGACTAAAGAGCTTGACATGCAGGATTATGTTTCAATGATATGAAAGACTTTATCAGCAAGCAATAGCTGCCGTATTCTTAAAATGATCTTGCATTTCTACTATTATGCTCTTATATTGTGTTCGTGTTTTTGAAAGCTGCATTCATTTGATCAAAAATACAGTACAAAATGTGAAATATTATTCAAAATTAGAATAGCTGTTGTTTTCGTAATAATAGTGTAAAGTGTCATTTATTCTTATACTGGCTAACGCCAGACCACATGTTCATTTTCTCGTATTTGAGGCGTGGTTCACGAATGCCCAAAGCCGTATTATTGGGTGCTACAAATGTCTATCAAATGGGCCTGTGCTCCCTCCCCATTCTGTGATTGTTTCCCTAATTCAGGGAAAAATTTGGTTCATGGTGTCCAGGCTGCCTAGCAGCGTGAATAAAATCGTCCTGCAGCAAGGCAGCATGGGGAAACCCAGGCTAATTTATTCCTGTGATAAAAGCTGAGTTTTCAGCATCATTACTCCAGTCTTCAGTTTCACATGGTCCTTTAGGAATCATTCTAATATGCTAATTTGCTGCTCAAGAAACATTGATTACCATCAATGCTTTGCCACAGTCTGCCAGCATTGAGTTTGTGACTGAGATTGCAACTCACTTCCCTGACTATGTTCATTGTGGTCTGTAGATGCACACAAACAAGCGTCACAAGACATCTGGAAATGGATTATTTCAATGCAATGAAGGATTTAAAAGCCCTTCACACAACAAGTAGGGCAGCACAATGATGGTTAAACTGATAATCATTATTATTCTCATTTGAGACATTTCTTTTATCCAAGTTATGTGACTTTCATGTGAACACAAAAATCAAAAGAACATTTACACAGATGCAGGGTCTATTCACCAGAAATACTGCAAGTCATAATTCCAAGAAACTCACAATTGTGAAATAGGTCACAATTACCATCATGTTATTCCTTGGCAAAATAATCTGCAAGTCTGCACCCTGCTACTGTATATAAAATATTGAGCTTTACAGAAGCATAGGAACCCAGGTTTGCAACTGGAGCTTGCCTAGAAGTTCAGTGAAATGGCTTAGGCAGAAGTTTGGCTTGTTTAGTTCAAATCAAGCACCAATCAGAATGAACAACCTTGCTAAAGCACAAATGGAACTTTAGTTGTGTGGCCCAGTAAATAAAACCAAGAACAGTCACGCAAGAGCCGACTCATTGAACATCAACACCAATTTATTAAATCTAAATTGACATGACCAGGTTAACTTCTCCACTAGACACCACAGTTTGCCCACTAGAGATGGTCTTGATGGGAGTGTCCCTTCCTGTAAGAGAAGTGGTAGAAGCATGAGGAGCACTTAAAAACCAAATTCCCACGGTTCCCAAGTCGGTTTACAGCAAGCACTCACTTTTCCTAGTGCAGCTTTGCTCACAGGAGCCAGAAGAGGGATGGCACACTGCTGTACTACAGTGGATGAAGATCTAACAGAGGGAGAAAAGGTTTAGCCATAGAATTCACTATAAAAAGCACTAATAATAAGGGTTGAGGTAAGGCTGCGGAGCATACGGTTTCCTGCAGAGGAGCCAGTGACGATGGATCAACAAATGTGAACATCTTCACAATAAAGCGCTTGTAGTGGGTTGGGAACTGAAGACCAGACGATCCAGTCACTGGAACCAATGTGGTCAGGTAACGATCATCCTGGTAAGGGCATCTGAAAGGAAAAAAGGGAATCAGAAACGCCTTACAGCACACTAGATGGACAAAGACTGGCCTTACTCACCCATCAACCAGAAGGTCCCACTGGGGTAGACTGAGTGGACTGGGGGTTGACGTCGCCCAGCAATGTCCCAGCATCAGGACAATGTTGGGGTCGGTCCTCTCCATAACGTGCACCTCAACATACACAGGCTCCCGCAGGACTTTTGTAACAGGATAATCAGCATCACTGTAGTAGGAAGTGTACGCCTCGTCCCCTGAGGAAGAACAGTGTTTAACCAGAAACCACTGCAACCTGGAGCTTTGGAAAAGCTTTAGGCACACACTTGGGTCAAATACTTACCTTCTGCACAGCCTTTGGTGACACACTGACCATTTGCTAGCCTAAGCTCCACCCTGAGGGGTCCAGGAGCAGCTACTGGTGGAGGTGGAGGAACAGTGTTGACCTCCACAACCAGAGCTTCCACAGAAGTACCAGAGTACCGACACTGGAAGAGAAGCCTGGAAAACAAACAGTGAGCTTGTAGCATTTGCCAAGGATTAACAAACCTGCTGAAGCATACGTCACCCACTCAAAATGGCTGTCCCTTGTGATGGAACCAAGTGGTCCGATACCCACTTCATACGAGGAGGTCATTCTGTTTTCATACACCACATATCCACTGTCCTCCTGCAAATAGTAACACTGTTGGCATCCAGTCCACTTTAAGCCATGCAGAACAAAACCACAAGCAGCTACTCACCATCATGCTCGTGCCGCACGCAGTGACAGGGAACTGGTATATAGCAAAGAAAGGTGTGGATCCCACAGGACTGCAAGCTGGATCATCTCCACCCAGGAGACGGACTGAATCCAGGCTCAAACGAGGCAGCGTGACATCTCTAGCCACCACGACCACAAACTGACCATCTCTTATACACTGGACAGTCACTGGAACAAGGTACAAGAGCTGGTTATTGATGAGGATCGGTTTAACAAGAAACACCTTTACATTGACTCAACACTCTTACCAGCCTTCCCATAGTAACACTGCTGTCCGTTAAAGCAGCAGTTAATAGCTGCACACTCAGCACCACTGATACCAGGTGGTCCACACTGGATCTGCTCATAATCAGCAATAGCACATTTGTCAACGGGCTCTGCCTTTCCCACTGGCTGTTTCGGCTGAAACTGCTGAGGAAACGGTTGACTAGCTTGAACTGACTGAGGAAACTGTTGACTAGCTTGCTGTTGAACAGACTGAGGGAACTGTTGACTAGTCTGTTGAATAGACTGAGAAAACTGTTGACTAGCTTGCTGTTGAACAGACTGAGGGAACTGTTGACTAGCTTGCTGTTGAACAGACTGAGGGAACTGTTGACTAGCTTGCTGTTGAACAGACTGAGGGAACTGTTGACTAGCTTGCTGTTGAACTGGCTTAGAAAACTGTTGACTAGCTTGCTGTTGAACTGGCTTAGAAAACTGTTGACTAGCTTGCTGTTGAACTGGCTTAGAAAACTGTTGACTAGCTTGCTGTTGAACTGGCTTAGGAGACTGTTGATTAGCTTGCCATTGAACTGACTGAGGAAACTGCTGAGGAAACTGTTGACTAGCTTGCTGTTGAACAGACTGAAGAAACCGCTGACTAGTTTGCTGTTGAACTGGCTTAGAAAATTGTTGACTAGCTTGCCGTTGAACTGACAGAGGGAACTGTTGACTAGCTTGAACTGACTGAGGAAACTGCTGACTAGCTTGCTGTTGAAACCTCGGGTCAGTTTGCTGGAACATCAGAGCTTGAGGACTTTGGTGCAGATTACTCCACTTTGGAACAGCATGACAGAAAGCACAGAACCAAACACAAAGTGCCAGAGTCTGAGCAACACACCAACTCCCTGCCATTGTCCAACAGCTAGTCACACTGTTGAGATGCTGCCCTTTGGTTTTTTGTACTCTACCGATTTTGGCTAATTAACGATAATCCCTCCCCTTTCATTAACAGTCATGATTCTCCAGACTTGCATGAGTGTGGAGTTTATCCAACTGGGTGTTTCCATTTGTTCCTAAGATTCAATTGTCCTTGTTTTTCCACCCTTTTTGAACATGCAAAGAATGCACATATTGAGCTTGATGCGGAAAAGTTTACTAGTACTATTTCTGCCATTCAGAATTCGGCCTTTGTTTTAAATGCTTCATCCTGCGAATATAATGGTGGATGTTTTGGCTATTCTGGCCTGTGTATTCAGATTGACTAAAGAGCTTGACATGCAGGATTATGTTTCAATGATATGAAAGACTTTATCAGCAAGCAATAGCTGCCGTATTCTTAAAATGATCTTGCATTTCTACTATTATGCTCTTATATTGTGTTCGTGTTTTTGAAAGCTGCATTCATTTGATCAAAAATACAGTACAAAATGTGAAATATTATTCAAAATTAGAATAGCTGTTGTTTTCGTAATAATAGTGTAAAGTGTCATTTATTCTTATACTGGCTAACGCCAGACCACATGTTCATTTTCTCGTATTTGAGGCGTGGTTCACGAATGCCCAAAGCCGTATTATTGGGTGCTACAAATGTCTATCAAATGGGCCTGTGCTCCCTCCCCATTCTGTGATTGTTTCCCTAATTCAGGGAAAAATTTGGTTCATGGTGTCCAGGCTGCCTAGCAGCGTGAATAAAATCGTCCTGCAGCAAGGCAGCATGGGGAAACCCAGGCTAATTTATTCCTGTGATAAAAGCTGAGTTTTCAGCATCATTACTCCAGTCTTCAGTTTCACATGGTCCTTTAGGAATCATTCTAATATGCTAATTTGCTGCTCAAGAAACATTGATTACCATCAATGCTTTGCCACAGTCTGCCAGCATTGAGTTTGTGACTGAGATTGCAACTCACTTCCCTGACTATGTTCATTGTGGTCTGTAGATGCACACAAACAAGCGTCACAAGACATCTGGAAATGGATTATTTCAATGCAATGAAGGATTTAAAAGCCCTTCACACAACAAGTAGGGCAGCACAATGATGGTTAAACTGATAATCATTATTATTCTCATTTGAGACATTTCTTTTATCCAAGTTATGTGACTTTCATGTGAACACAAAAATCAAAAGAACATTTACACAGATGCAGGGTCTATTCACCAGAAATACTGCAAGTCATAATTCCAAGAAACTCACAATTGTGAAATAGGTCACAATTACCATCATGTTATTCCTTGGCAAAATAATCTGCAAGTCTGCACCCTGCTACTGTATATAAAATATTGAGCTTTACAGAAGCATAGGAACCCAGGTTTGCAACTGGAGCTTGCCTAGAAGTTCAGTGAAATGGCTTAGGCAGAAGTTTGGCTTGTTTAGTTCAAATCAAGCACCAATCAGAATGAACAACCTTGCTAAAGCACAAATGGAACTTTAGTTGTGTGGCCCAGTAAATAAAACCAAGAACAGTCACGCAAGAGCCGACTCATTGAACATCAACACCAATTTATTAAATCTAAATTGACATGACCAGGTTAACTTCTCCACTAGACACCACAGTTTGCCCACTAGAGATGGTCTTGATGGGAGTGTCCCTTCCTGTAAGAGAAGTGGTAGAAGCATGAGGAGCACTTAAAAACCAAATTCCCACGGTTCCCAAGTCGGTTTACAGCAAGCACTCACTTTTCCTAGTGCAGCTTTGCTCACAGGAGCCAGAAGAGGGATGGCACACTGCTGTACTACAGTGGATGAAGATCTAACAGAGGGAGAAAAGGTTTAGCCATAGAATTCACTATAAAAAGCACTAATAATAAGGGTTGAGGTAAGGCTGCGGAGCATACGGTTTCCTGCAGAGGAGCCAGTGACGATGGATCAACAAATGTGAACATCTTCACAATAAAGCGCTTGTAGTGGGTTGGGAACTGAAGACCAGACGATCCAGTCACTGGAACCAATGTGGTCAGGTAACGATCATCCTGGTAAGGGCATCTGAAAGGAAAAAAGGGAATCAGAAACGCCTTACAGCACACTAGATGGACAAAGACTGGCCTTACTCACCCATCAACCAGAAGGTCCCACTGGGGTAGACTGAGTGGACTGGGGGTTGACGTCGCCCAGCAATGTCCCAGCATCAGGACAATGTTGGGGTCGGTCCTCTCCATAACGTGCACCTCAACATACACAGGCTCCCGCAGGACTTTTGTAACAGGATAATCAGCATCACTGTAGTAGGAAGTGTACGCCTCGTCCCCTGAGGAAGAACAGTGTTTAACCAGAAACCACTGCAACCTGGAGCTTTGGAAAAGCTTTAGGCACACACTTGGGTCAAATACTTACCTTCTGCACAGCCTTTGGTGACACACTGACCATTTGCTAGCCTAAGCTCCACCCTGAGGGGTCCAGGAGCAGCTACTGGTGGAGGTGGAGGAACAGTGTTGACCTCCACAACCAGAGCTTCCACAGAAGTACCAGAGTACCGACACTGGAAGAGAAGCCTGGAAAACAAACAGTGAGCTTGTAGCATTTGCCAAGGATTAACAAACCTGCTGAAGCATACGTCACCCACTCAAAATGGCTGTCCCTTGTGATGGAACCAAGTGGTCCGATACCCACTTCATACGAGGAGGTCATTCTGTTTTCATACACCACATATCCACTGTCCTCCTGCAAATAGTAACACTGTTGGCATCCAGTCCACTTTAAGCCATGCAGAACAAAACCACAAGCAGCTACTCACCATCATGCTCGTGCCGCACGCAGTGACAGGGAACTGGTATATAGCAAAGAAAGGTGTGGATCCCACAGGACTGCAAGCTGGATCATCTCCACCCAGGAGACGGACTGAATCCAGGCTCAAACGAGGCAGCGTGACATCTCTAGCCACCACGACCACAAACTGACCATCTCTTATACACTGGACAGTCACTGGAACAAGGTACAAGAGCTGGTTATTGATGAGGATCGGTTTAACAAGAAACACCTTTACATTGACTCAACACTCTTACCAGCCTTCCCATAGTAACACTGCTGTCCGTTAAAGCAGCAGTTAATAGCTGCACACTCAGCACCACTGATACCAGGTGGTCCACACTGGATCTGCTCATAATCAGCAATAGCACATTTGTCAACGGGCTCTGCCTTTCCCACTGGCTGTTTCGGCTGAAACTGCTGAGGAAACGGTTGACTAGCTTGAACTGACTGAGGAAACTGTTGACTAGCTTGCTGTTGAACAGACTGAGGGAACTGTTGACTAGTCTGTTGAATAGACTGAGAAAACTGTTGACTAGCTTGCTGTTGAACAGACTGAGGGAACTGTTGACTAGCTTGCTGTTGAACAGACTGAGGGAACTGTTGACTAGCTTGCTGTTGAACTTGAAACTGTTGACTAGCTTGCTGTTGAGGAACTGTTGACTAGCTTGCTGTTGAAGCTTGCTGTTGACTACAGACTGAGGAAAACTGTTGACTAGCTTGCTGTTGAACTGGCTTAGAAAACTGTTGACTAGCTTGCTGTTGAACTGGCTTAGAAAACTGTTGACTAGCTTGCTGTTGAACTGGCTTAGAAAACTGTTGACTAGCTTGCTGTTGAACTGGCTTAGGATACTGTTGATTAGCTTGCCATTGAACTGACTGAGGAAACTGCTGAGGAAACTGTTGACTAGCTTGCTGTTGAACAGACTGAAGAAACCGCTGACTAGTTTGCTGTTGAACTGGCTTAGAAAACTGTTGACTAGCTTGCCGTTGAACTGACAGAGGGAACTGTTGACTAGCTTGAACTGACTGAGGAAACTGCTGACTAGCTTGCTGTTGAAACCTCGGGTCAGTTTGCTGGAACATCAGAGCTTGAGGACTTTGGTGCAGATTACTCCACTTTGGAACAGCATGACAGAAAGCACAGAACCAAACACAAAGTGCCAGAGTCTGAGCAACACACCAACTCCCTGCCATTGTCCAACAGCTAGTCACACTGTTGAGATGCTGCCCTTTGGTTTTTTGTACTCTACCGATTTTGGCTAATTAACGATAATCCCTCCCCTTTCATTAACAGTCATGATTCTCCAGACTTGCATGAGTGTGGAGTTTATCCAACTGGGTGTTTCCATTTGTTCCTAAGATTCAATTGTCCTTGTTTTTCCACCCTTTTTGAACATGCAAAGAATGCACATATTGAGCTTGATGCGGAAAAGTTTACTAGTACTATTTCTGCCATTCAGAATTCGGCCTTTGTTTTAAATGCTTCATCCTGCGAATATAATGGTGGATGTTTTGGCTATTCTGGCCTGTGTATTCAGATTGACTAAAGAGCTTGACATGCAGGATTATGTTTCAATGATATGAAAGACTTTATCAGCAAGCAATAGCTGCCGTATTCTTAAAATGATCTTGCATTTCTACTATTATGCTCTTATATTGTGTTCGTGTTTTTGAAAGCTGCATTCATTTGATCAAAAATACAGTACAAAATGTGAAATATTATTCAAAATTAGAATAGCTGTTGTTTTCGTATA